GTTTTTGTGAGCTCAAAGCATCTTTTTTTGAAGTGAACTCCTGGCTGCTAGTACCATTCAATAGCCTTGTTTTTGTCCTGCTGTTTTGAGTTACTTCAGCAGGGCCAATGCACAACTACAATCATAGTTTAACAGAACCCAAAGCCCTTCCCCAAAGGAAGCTATGATGCTGGCTACAAGTGGTTGCCTTCAGCACCTTGAGCTGCTTGCCACAGTCACGGAAAGAAATAAGTGCACCAGGATAAGGCAGGACCACAGCTTTTGGCAGCATTACCAAATTAAAGCCACCCAAGAGACTGGAAAGAACCAACTCCAAAAGGAGCAGACCTCAAGCAAAGCAGGGCTGCAGAGAAGCCACAGGTGCCTGTGCACCACTCTCCCACCACACGGGCTGAAACAATTGCTTCTGTCCTCTAAGGACTTCTGTCTCAGCACCTGTGGTCAGGCACACAGCAGCAGAGGAGCAACAATGACTTGTGTCCGAGGGCAGAGCTTAACACGGAGTGTTGCACTGCCTCATACTGAGTAGTGTCAGAGCATTAAAGGATAAGGATTTAACTTCACAGACAGCACCTTGAAGGAGACGATGCATGTGCCATGGTGACTCACAGACAAACCCTATCACAGCCTCAGCTATCACAGACAAATGGTGCTTGAGCTTCCCATAGGACTTAAAACTGCCTCAAAACAACAGGAGATCAACTTGCTGGTGATGGAGCAACAGCCCCTTGCACTGCCACCAGAACCTAAGTCTTAGAACAACTCTGTATGAACACAAGCACCACAAGATGCATGCACAAACACGAGCACAAGCAAATCAGAGCTTGAAGCCAAAGCTGGTTTTCCCCAGTTTTGCAGAACACTCAAATCAAGTCCAGGCCGACACATACATCACTGCAGATTCCCTGGTTGTTATGAACACATGGAAGAAACCTGCTGCGCCAGAAGCTACACAGACACTCATGCTGTATCTTCTTCTAGCCCCTTCCAGGAGCATCACACCCCAGTGCCATCCCCCAGCTGCCCTCTCAGCAGAGAAGTGCCTTCCACCAGGGCAAAACCCACAAAGTGAGCCTCCAGTACCCGGAGCCATCCATCGCAACACTTGTTTGGTTGTTTAAATATATTGCCAGTAAGAGCCGTTTCATCCTTCAGCTGAGTAGAACCAAGAATTTGATTGGTAAGGACCAATACTGACTAATCTTTGGCTGTAACGGATCCTTTCTTCCTCAGGCTCCATCTCTGACTCTTCCGAAGAAAGTGAGAAGGACACTCCAGGGCTGCTGTCGTCGTCCTCTTCCTCCTTGGAAATTAGAGGCAAGCAGTGAGGCAGGGCATGGGGCCATGCAGCACCCACCTCTCTCCCTCCTGAACATGAGCACAGCGACAAGCCCACCCCAACCCAAACACTCTAACTTTAAGAGTGACTTCGCAGGCTGCTGTGTAAGGCAGCAGATGTGTGACACAGTGGGTCTCCTCCTGGCACTGTCACCACGGACCAGACAGGGTGCCTGCTACTAATCACCTATAGGCACCGAGGGAGCAGCTGGGTGCCCCCAAAACAGGGCTGCGTGTTACAGAAACAGCTCCTCCCCAGGACACGGCCACCGGTCCGGGGGGCATCCCAGGCCAGCAGCAGAGCACCGAGCCCCCTGCACAGCCCCCACAGCGCAGCTCCAGCCCGGAGGACTCCCACACTCAGCCCCCGACCCGTGTGACGCAGCGGTGTCAGGCAGCGCCTCCACCTCCGCTTCTAAAGCGGCAAAGCCCACAGCCCCCTGGAGCTCCCCGGGAAGGGACGAGCGGACCGCCGAGCCGTCCTCGCTCCTCGCTCCGTCCCCGCTCCCCACAGCCCGCGGCTGTCACCCCCAGGAGCTGTCACCGCCGCCCGCCGCCCCCCAAACTTTCGGCCCCCGGACCCCCCCGCCCCGCCGCCGGTGGCTCACCAGGTCCCTCCTGCGCCTTTGTCCTCTCCTGCCGCCGGCACAGCACGAACACAGCAGACGGAGGAGAAGCCCCGAGTCAGGCTCCGAGCGCCGCGGGCCCCCCGCCGCTGCCGCCGCCGCCGCCCCACAGACCCGCCGCCCCCCGCGCCCCCGCTGACAGCCCCGCCAGCCGCCGGCCCGCAACCGCTCCGCGGGCCCCGCGCCCGGCCCGCTCCGGCCCGGCGCCTCCTCGTCCTCCTTCGCCCCCTCCTCGTCCCCCGCGCCGCCCGCCGAGCTCTCTTCCCGCTCCCCGCCGCCCGCTCCCTCCCGTCAGCCGCCAGCCCGCTCCCCGCCCGGGACGCGCTTCCCCTCCTCACACAGGAGCCGCCGCCGCCATTTTGAACCCGTCAGAGCCTCACATACACACTGCCTCGGCCGCCGCACTGCGCCTGCGCCGCCCCGCGCCCCCCTCCCACCCCGCCCCCTCCATCGGCCGACGCCGTGCGCGTGCGCAGCCCCGTGCCCGGTTTCTCCAGCCCCGCCTCGCCGGAGAGAAGGGGTGAGAGCGCGCATGCGCGCGTCCGCGGGCGCCTTACTGGCCGTATCTCCGGGGCGGCGCGCTGGCCACGCCTCCTCGTGGGCACTGCTCCGCGCATGCGCGCGGGGAACGTTTCTACGGGTGAGCGCGCCCCCGTGGCCGGCCGCGCGCGCGTCCGATTGCGACTCTGTTTGCGTGCGTGCTGGAGCGCACACACGTATAGTGTAATCCGTGCTCGGGTGGAGCTGCCATTCCCAGCCTGTCCCCATCCCGTCCCGCCCGTGCACCGGCGCTGCCCACAAACACCACATCACGCTGATCAGTGAATTTTAATACCGCACCACAACGGTGCTGCGTGGGGATACATCCGTTCCTGTCCAGCAGGGCTCAGGGGTCCCCAAGTCAGTTCCCAGCCCCGGGGGGGTGCCAGTGGCCGGCGCACCGGGGCTGCCCTCCTGCCAGCCTCATGGTGCTGGGACTCAGCAGAGCGCACAGCCGTTGCGGGGCCACCTCTTGCGGCGGGGCCGACGGGCGCCACGGAGCGCGATGGTGCAGGCCTCAATGAAGACATCCCTGACATTGTCCCGGTGCAGCGCTGAGCACTCCAAGTAGGCTGCAGCCTGCACCTGCCGGGCCATGGCCTCCCCCTGCAGGCAGCGGTGCTGAGCCTTGGGGGAGGACGTGGAATGCGTCCCTCCCGCGGCAGGCAGTGGCACTGACCTCCTGGAAGGTGACAGACTCGTGGTGGCCCTGCCGCAGGTCGGTCTTGCAGCCCACCAGCAGCACTGGGACACCTTTGCAGAAGTGGTTGACCTCCGGGTACCACTGCGGGAAGGAGATGGGGAGTGGGACAGGCAGAGGGAAGTGCAGGACAGAAAGAGAGAGAGACAGACTGACAGTGGGATGGGACAGGCAGGTGACAGGAAGAAGGACAGACATTGGGACAGACATCGGGGCGGGCAGCGGCCCTGGCTCCATGTCCACTTTGTGGGGTTGGAGCAGCTGCGGGGCTGCGTTACCTTCGTTAGGATGTTGTCATAGCTGCTGCGGCTGGTGACATCGAAGCATATGAGGACAACGTTGGTGTCTGAGTAGGACAGCGGGCGCAGCCTGTCGTAGTCTTCCTGCCCTGCGGTGCCCCAGCAGATGCCACCCGTCACACACAGGTTCCTTGCAGAGGAGCCCCAACTGTCCCCAGCCCGGGGGGTGCCAGCTCGGGACACCCTGAGCGTGGGGCAGTCCCTCTGGTCCCACCTGCTGTGTCCCACAGGTGGATCTTGGCAGGCTTGCCTCTGATCCGGAAGGAGGCTGTGTACTTCTCGAACACTGTGGGGACGTAGACCTGGCAGGGACAGGAGATGGCACGGGCAGGTCCTCGGGGCTGGAGTCCCCATCCTGGTGCTGCTGGCAGGCTTTAGGCCCCTCACCTTGGGGAAGTCCCCTCTAGCAAAGACCATCAGCAGAGATGTCTTCCCACAGCCCCCATCCCCGACCACAACGGCTTTGATCTCAGCGACCGTGGGCTCAGGGGGCCCCAGGGCCGAGCTCTGACTCTCAGGCAGCGGCTGCATGGGACGCTGTGGGCTGGGATGTGGGGACAGGCACGGGGCTGCCCAGAACACTGCGCCCGGCCCTCACCCCTCTCCCACTCCCTCCCTGCTCCCAGATTTATTGCCCAGAGCATCCGCAAGAGGCAAAGTCCAGGGCGGAGGGAGGGAGTGACTCACGGCCCTGCCAGTGCCACCCTGTGTCACAGCCGGTGATGCACTGGGGAGCTATGTCTCTCCTCAGGGCCTGCCCCAGTGCTCCCCAGTGCCACCCACGGCTCTGTCCTACTGCTGAGGAGTTTGGGGTCAGGAGGTGCTCAGCACCTGGGCACCCCCTCGGGAAGGAGATGCTTCCCATGGTGTCCCTGTGTCCCTGTTCTGGACCCAAAACAAAGTTCCCCCGTCCCTGTGACAATGGGGTGCCATGCCTGTGAGCTGCAGGCAAATGCAGACGGTAATGAACAATCTCAGAAGGATGCCAACACATTGGGAAGAGTAGGGGAGGAGATGGCAGTGCAATAAAACAATTAGGAAGGTGGTAATTGCCACTTTAATGAGATATCAGGTTGAATCCTAAAAGCACGGAGATTCTTTCACAGCAAGATGAAGCTGCTGCAGTATTTGTCCTCAGGGGTATTCTCCCAGACAAAACATTTCTGTCAAGACCAACAGAAATTTGTTGAGTGCAGAGGCTTGGTGCTGCAGCTGCTGTTGCTGGGTTGCCCAGCACTCCTTGCAAGCTGACTCGGTCCTGCAGCGGTACCCAGAGAGCAGCTATCATCCAGAGGGAGCCTTGTGGGGACCCGGAGACCCAAGATCTCCTCATCGAGAGGAAAAAGCCCTGCCAGGACCGGCCCCAGGCTGCTGCCTGGAAAGGTAGGGATGGGGCAAACCCACACCTTGCCTTGTGCCCACAGACTGCCTGCAGCTCCCCCCGCTCCCCACTGCCCTCCGCAGTGCTCCCACCCTGCTTGCTGCCCCTTCCCACTGTTGCCCCGCTCTGCCCACAGCCGGGACCACCTCATGCCATGGAACCCAGCCACGCCACCCCGTCCCCTGCATTGCCGATGGCTGCTGGAGAGAACACGTGTGAGATGGATGTCTTTGATGCGGCTGTGGATGGGGCCACGCTGCTCATCAGCCTGTGTGGGCTGGTGGGTAACGGGGCCGTCTTCTGGTTGCTCAGCTGCCGCATCCGCAGGAACCCCGTCACCGTCTATGTCCTCAACCTGGCCATGGCCGACTTCACCTTCCTGCTCTTCATGCTCACCTACACCCTCCTCAACCTTCTGAAAGACCTCTCCTGCTCCATGCTGCCCATCTTAGTGAAGCACCTCGTATCACTCCTCCTGCTCTCGCTACTTGCCCACAACATGGGCATGTATCTGCTGGCGGCCATCAGCATCGAGAGGTGCGTGTCCATCCTGTGCCCACTCTGGTACCGCTGCCACCGTCCCCAGCACCTGTCAGCCGTGGTGTGTGCCCTGCTCTGGGTCCTCTCCATCACTGTCATTGCCGTGGTGACATCCCTGTGCCTGTCCCACCAGCAAGAGCAGTGCCGCCTGGCACTCATCGCCATGTACATCCTCAACTTCCTCCTTTTTGCCCCATCCATGGTCATTTCCAACGTGATCCTGCTCATTAAGGTGCTGTGCAGTTCCAAGCAGCGCCAGCACAGGAGGCTCTACATTGTCATATTTCTCACAGTCCTCTTCTTCCTCCTCTTTGGAGTCCCCCTCAGCGTGTGGAATTTCATGCAGCATTTCAGCTCAGACCCACTTGGGCATCACCAGGTGGTTTTCCTGCTCGCCTGCATCAACAGCGGCATCAACCCCTTCATCTATTTGCTGGTGGGTGGCAGTAGGAGGCACTGCTCTTTGGCATCCCTCCAGGTTGCCTTCCAGAGGGTCTTTGAGGAGACCGGGGTCACTGTGATCTCCGCCTGAGAGCCCACTGTGATTGTGCTGGCCACAGCCCCCATCCTAGCTGCATGCCCACACTCACATGGGCAGGCCTGCGGTCACCCTCCCATGGCTGCATATCAGGATGTGTCTTTGCATGGTCATTATTTTACCCCTATCCCTGTCCCATTCCACTCCTGTTTGTCTGCATTCCATCCCCAAATGTTCCCCCTTCCCATCCCTGTCTCATCCCATTCCTATCCCTGTCTCAGTCCCTGTCCTTGACCTGCCCCCATGTCTGTCCCCATCTTCATCCCCATCTCCACCCCATTCTTGTCCCCATGCTGTCTTGTACTGTCCCATTCCCTCCTCTCCCAGTTCCCTTCCCCATCCCAATACCCGTTCCTTCCCTGCTATCCCACCCTTCCCCACCCCATTCCCCATCCTGTCCCTATCTTCACCCTCATCTCATTCCATCCTCATCCATTCCCATCCTCATCCCATTTCCATCCTCATCCACATCCCACCCCGCAGCCCTACTTGTACCCATCCCAATTCCTGTCCTACTCAGTCCCATTCTGATCCATGTTCCATCCCATCCCATCCTCATCCCCTTCCCCATCCCGGTCTAATTCCCATCCCATCCCCACCCTCACTCCCACCGCAGTCTCATCCCCAGCCCTTCCAATTCCCACTCCGGTCCCGTTCCGTCCCCGCGTTCTCCAGCCCCGACCGATGCGGAGCGCGGGGCTCTGCTGCCCTCCAGCGTGGAAAGTGTAGAACGCTGCTGCCCTTCAGTTGCTGCTGCAGTCCCGAGGAGTACCGACCGCTTCGCAGCTCTTTGCGGAGGATCTGCCGTCTCCGGGCTCCACTCCGCTGCGGGCATCTCCGGGTCTGCCCCCCCAATAAAGCTGCTGCTCTGCCACTGACTCTCATTCTTCCGCATGGCCGGGGGTGGAGGGCGGGTTGGGGTTCTATGGTCAGTGGAGTGGGGACAGGCACGCGGGTGGCTGGCACCACAAATGGGCTGGGGTGTGCACATGGTGTTTGCTGTCAGCAGGAGGAGGCACGGCTGGGGAAGGGCTGCCCAGGGGTTGGGGGACGGGGGCTTAGAACACTGAATGTGTTTCATCCTCTTGCATGTGGGTCAGTCCTTCCCAAAAAGCAGAGAGGCTGGCAGTAGCACCTCAGGGACATCGCGGCTGCACTATCACGCACCCGAGGGTGCAGCAAGAGAGTGATATACCAGGATACAATGCAGATATTTATTGACCGTGCTCCCCAGGAACACCAACCCCACCCCCTCACCCCCCAGAATTCTCCTAATGTAAAGCAGTGGAAAGGCTTCAAGGGGCTGAGCTCAGCGTGCGCATCATGGAGTTGTTGCTGCCCACACCATCATCACCCAGCTCCTCAAAGACCCTCTGGAAGGCAACCTGGAGGGATGCCAAAGAGCAGTGCCTCCTGCCGCTACCCACCAACACATAGATGAAGGGGTTGATGCTGCTGTTGATGCAGGCGAGCAGGAAAACCACCTGGTGATGCCCAAGTGGGTCTGAGCTGAAATGCTGCATGAAATTCCAGACACTGAGGGGGACTCCAAAGAGGAGGAAGAAGAGGACTGTGAGAAATATAACAATGTAGAGCCTCCTGTGCTGGCGCTGCCTGGAGCTGCACAGCACTTTAATGAGCAGGATCATGTTGGAAATGACCATGGATGGGGCAGAAAGAAGGAAGTTGAGGATGTACATGGCGATGAGTGCCAGGCGGCACTGCTCTTGCTGGTGGGACAGGCACAGGGATGTCACCACGGCAATGACAGTGATGGAGAGGACCCAGAGCAGGGCACACACCATGGCTGACAGGTGCTGGGGACGGTGGCAGTGGGTCCTGCCAGAGCAGAAGGCAGACACACACCTCTCGATGCTGATGGCCGCCAGCAGATACATGCCCATGTTGTGGGCAAGTAGCGAGAGCAGGAGGAGTGATACGAGGTGCTTCACTAAGATGGGCAGCGTGGAGCAGGAGAGGTCTTTCAGAAGGTTGAGGAGGGTGTAGGTGAGCATGAAGAGCAGGAAGGTGAAGTCGGCCATGGCCAGGTTGAGGACATAGACGGTGACGGGGTTCCTGCGGATGCGGCAGCTGAGCAACCAGAAGACGGCCCCGTTACCCACCAGCCCACACAGGCTGATGAGCAGCGTGGCCCCATCCACAGCCGCATCAAAGACATCCATCTCACACGTGTTCTCTCCAGCAGCCATCGGCAATGCAGGGGACGGGGTGGCGTGGCTGGGTTCCATGGCATGAGGTGGTCCCGGCTGTGGGCAGAGCGGGGCAACAGTGGGACCCTGAGAGATGGGTGGGGAGAAGAGCGGAGGCACAGGGAAGAGAGAGGGCAGGGCACTGCCAGGGGCTGCTGCAATGCAGAGGAAGAGCCCTGAAGTTCTTGTGGTCCCCGAGAGAGCAGAGAGGGAGTGAGCAAAGGAGAATGGGAAAGGACGAGGGAAAACATTGCACTTAACTGTAAGTTTTATGAAGCTGCTGCGTAGGGCTGCCTTTCCATCCATGCTTGGGCAGACTGGTGTCAGTCTCAGCATCTCACGCGCCCTTTGGAGCCGTATCCTGAAGCAGATCCCCTCAGGCCACTCGTACAATGAAGAACGTTCCCCAGTCCCTTGAATGTCTCTGGTTTCTCCTTGGCTGTTCACCTTGGCTCCTCTGTGCCATGCACACCAGCTCCCCCAGCCACAGCAGAGTCCCGACAGTGTCAAGAAACGTTTTGTAATCACCACTGCGTCAGAGCTCTGCTTCCTTGTTTTTATTTATCTTGGCCTTTTTTTTTTTTTTTTTCCTTTTTGTCTTCCCACAAAGGAAGTGGCTTTTGCCAGAAACCATGAAAACAGACATTTGTGAATTGCTCCTCAGGAATTTCTGATTCAAGGCACTTCTTTCTGCACTGTGACTGACAGCTATGAGACCCTTCCTTCTGCTTCACATTTCACTATTCCTCATAGGGCTGTTACTGCTGTGATGCTGGCAATGTTGGTGATACTGGCAGTGATGGTGATGCCTGTGAGTCTGGCAGGGTGGTGGAGCACTTCTTAGAAGGTCTTCTCGGAAGAGCAGGAGGATTGTTGGGAAATATCTCTGCAGAAATACACCACCAGAGGGGAACGAAGAATGACTGTTTGTTGTTGGTCTAATTCAGACACTAACAATTGACAGCAACCAAGCAGCACTTCACAGATCCCATTGGTTATTGATAGTGCCCCTTAATGACACAGGTACTCAGAAGAATGCCTTCTCTGGCGCTGTGCTCTGTTGGAATTCTCTGCATAGACTTTTCTTGAAAGAAAACAAAAAGGGACAGGATTTCTGGAGCTTAATTTCAGACAGCTGGAGGCACAAGAAGTTTTGCTGTAGGCTGGAGGAAGTGCATTTTATCTTGTAGGCATTTAGCTTTTCCCTTTTGGAAAAGGAGAATTCTCAGGGGAATTGGTAAGGTTTTGCAGCCAACATGGAGCTTTCCTCCAGATGTCCATTTTTGCCCTCATAAAGCAAACCAGAATCAGGCACATGGAAAAGCCTCCAGCCTCTTGCTGGCACCGCTGTGCTCTGTGTGCTCCTCCACAGCCAAGATGGGGCTGGGAATGTGCCGAGGGGAATTGGGAGCGGGCGGGGTGGAGGGGCTTGTGGTCAGGGGAGGAACATCTGGGTAGGGATATGAGAGGTTCAGAGACAGTAACAGAGACTGCTGCAAGATTTGGCAGCACAGCTGCTCACATAGCCAAAGCAGAGCTCTGCATGAAGATCCTTGAACTTCACTTGGGCTACCTAAGCAGCCCGAGGGGAAAGGGTCTCTGCTTGCTATGGCTCTGCTGGAATCCTTCAGAGCTTCGTCCCAGGTTCTCACAGTGAGATGGTCTCAACCAGGTGCTGCTGCAGGTGGAGGAGTGTGAGTGATGGAGGTCCTGCAGAAGCCACCCCCAGAGTGCACCGGATATTGCAGCAAGAGGAATTTGGATTAATTAAATTCAGTTCATTCATAAGTTCCTGTGATTTGGAGTTTTGTCCAGCTGGCTCTGGATGTGGAAGAGACGGTAAACATCAGACTCCAGCTTTGCTTTCTGCTCTTTGTTTCTCCCTGGGCTTGCTGTCAGCCTTTTAGCAGAGGTGTGAAGGTGGGGTTGTCCAAGGAAAGGTGCCCGATGGTACTGCTGGGCTGGGAGCTTTCTGATGCAGGGACATGTTGCTATAAACAAGGAAGCAAAGCAAACCTGGAGTCCTACAGGGTAGACATATAATCATGGAATCATAGAACCATTAATGCTGGAAAAGACCTCTAAGGTCATCATATCCAATTGTTAACCCATCCCCACAACTCATAGAATCATAGAATTACTATGGCCAGAAAAGACCACTGCCATCCCCAGGTCCAACCCCAACCCATCCCTGCCATACCCACTACACCATGTCCCTCTGTGCCACATTTCCACACTTCTTGAATATCTCCAGGGACAGTGACTCCACCAAGCCTTTCCCACCAGCCCTGCAGGGGTGCAGGCACCTCATTCTTGGTCCTTCTCTTGGGATGTTCATAGGGAGGGGACCCTCAGTGAACCTTGGGGATGTGGAGCAGTGAGGAGAAGGATCACAAAATCTCCAGCTGAGGCTAGAGACACCTCTAGGTCACCTGCCCCAACTCCTGTCCCAGCAGGGCCAGCCAGGGCAGGGGCTCAGGCCCAGGTTTTGGTGGCTTTCGAAGACCCCACAACCCCACAGACTGAATAACCAGAGGAGCACAGCACTGGGAGTCACTGCTTTCCCTTTCATCTCTTCCCTTTCCCCAGATGAGGAGACTGCAAGGAGTAGGAGGGACCCACATCCTAACACCACGGCCTCACCACTTATAGGGACTGTGGGGATGGATACAATGGGATCCAATGGAATCAGATGCTTTCCAGCCCATTTTCCCCAAATGTCACCGCTAGCATCACACTGCTCTTCAGCCTGTGTGGGCCATCCTTTGGCTTCTCAGCTTTCACATGCAGAGGAATTCCTTTTCTGCCTACACCCTGAATATGGCTGTTGTGGATGCCTGCTTCCTCTTGTGCATGTCAGTGTTCCTTGCCTCCAAGTGCAATGTGCTCTGGGCCCTCATCTGTGTGCTCTCCATGCTTGTGTACTTCATGTGAGACTTGGGTCACTCCAAAGGCTGCTGAGTTGTTCTGGCAACTTTGTGTTTTCTCAGTTTCTGCTTTTTTGGCCCCTTTATGGTGGAACAGAGTGATCCTGCCATTAAGCTTAGGTTTAGTTCATGGAAGAACCGTTTAAGAGAGGCCGTACGCTGTCATCTTGGTGACCCTGACCTATCATGGAAGTTAGAACAAGATGATCTTTGAGGTCCCTTCTAACCCAAGTTATTCTATGATTCTATTCTGTGATCTTCCTCACTGTTTTCTTCTTCCTACTCTTTGCCATCCCACTTAGTGTACACTTCTTCCTCAACTTCTTTGTCTACACTGATTTCATATTTGACATCTGCCTGCTGCTGGCCTCCATCAACAGCAGCATTAATTCAGCTCTTTACATGCTGGTTAGGAACTACAGAAGCAGAGCATCCGATGCCTTCATCCTCACAATTCCAGAGGAAAGGACGGAGAGGGACATAAGGGACATTTTCAGCTCCATCTGGCTTGGTGTCTGCCTGCACCACTGGCAGAGGAAGCCCATCTCCCTCAGCCTGACCAGAGCTGGCAGCATCATTCAGCAACCAAATCTTTACACCATCACAGGGTTTATCCAGGGAGGCAAGAGGGAACAGGCAAAGAAACAAGTGCCTGTGATCAGCACTGTGTCAGCTGGACGGAGGACAGACAGACAGAAAGGCTGACAGTCTGCTCTTTGGCAGAACACGTGTGTATATAGGGCAGTGAGCAGGATGTGCACAGCATTATGCAGCCTTTCCTTGGAGCCTGCCTTCTGATCATCTGCTTGCACTTGAAAGGATCCACTTGGCAAGGGAGTTCTGTAGCTGGGGAGGCAAAGGCAGCACCCAGGAGGGAGAGAGGGAGAGATGTCAGCAGAAAGCCATGCACGCTCTCCAGTGCAGCAGGAACTCTCTGAATTTCACAAGCATTGCAGCCACCCTGAGCAGGGCTCATCTCACTGAACTTTGCTGTCCTGGGAAGCCTTGGTTAGCTCCTGTGCACACAGCAGAATGCTGTTGGGAAGTGCCAAATGTCACTGTGAAGTTGTGGCACACCTAGTTTGGAATCAGACAAAAGTTCTGCAGCAATGCCAAGATTGTAGCACAGGATCCTAAAGATCACCTCCTGAACAGGCTCCTCCAGTTCAAAGATATGGCCATTTTAGGAACAGGGTTGCTTTAAAGTAAAATGAAAGAGGAACCTGATGGAGAGACAATCCGCTTCTCCCATAGGTCTGGCTTCTGAGATCTATTAGTCATTTCCTGTATGACGATTATTACCAGAACCCTGATGCCATCAAATACAATGAAATAGTTTTCTTTTTTATCCTTTTTTTCGAGAATCCCTGAGAATGTGACAAATATGCTTTGTGGAAGGACCTAAGAAAAATGCTGATGGGCGCTGCACAGGCTCTCCAGGACGTGCTTGTGTCCAGTTTCCAAATGAGAGTTTGGGGAAACCTCGTGTGAAGATCCCATTGTGGGTGTAACAGCTGGCAAGATGATCTGAGTCTGCAGCACATCTGCTCCTGTGAAGATCTCCAGGCTGCGACAGGAAAGGTCAGACTTCTCTGGGTTACTTTTTTCAGCCTAATCAGTGTCTCCCTTCGTTGGTTTTGAATAGGTTGATCAATTTGCATCATATCTGAATGGAGAAGGATATTGGGAGCTACAAATCTGGTGGTAAAAGGTGGTAGGGGAATACAGACATGGTTGACTTACTGAAGGAACCCAGCAACAGGTATTATCACACCTGAGAGTCCATATCAGATCCACCCCCAAGCCCCCTCTCTCTTTGACATCTCCAGGGACAATCCCATCATCTTGTTATTGCCCTCCTTCAGACCTGTCTCATCCAGAGCCAGGAAGAAGGCATCTCCCTTGCTTTCACTCCTCGCCTCATATGCACTCCTGTGCAAGGAATGTCATATCCACTCCTCTCAACCCCCTTCCGCCCCTTCTGTCTCTCATTTCTCTTTGTGCTCCTCCACGTGAAAGGTAGGGCACAGTTACAACGAGCTGAAAATCCTTCTACAAGGGGTCATCAGATTTTCTAACACATCTCTGTCTCTCATCCCTCCAGCTGTGTGAGAGGAAGCTGGAGCAGCACGGTTTCACAATGAGCATACCGCTCCCCACCGCAGGAAGAGCCAGCCCTGCTTGCTGGAGCCAGCCCAGCACGATAGCTTACAGCAGAGCTTGGCACCACGGGCTGCTGAGGCAAGCTGGCTCCTATGAGGACGACTATGACTGGACACACTGTGAAGCCAGTGCTTTGAGCAAAGTCCCTGTCACAGTGCTCATCTGCCTCTGTGGGCTGGTGGGCAACGGGGCCATCCTCTGGCTACTCAGAACCCGCGTCCGCAGGAACTTCATCACCATCTACATCTTCAACCTGGCCATGGCCGACTTCACCTTCCTGTTCTCCATTGTCATTGCCCTCATAATATTTTATGGCCCACAGAGCTTTTGTCACAGTCTGGCCTCACAGGACGTGATGACAGTGTTGAACATGGCCATCACCTTTGCTTTCATCTCTGGTGTCTACCTCACGGCAGCCCTGGGTGCCAGGACCTGCCTGTCTGCCCTCCCACAGCCCCTCTGCCCTTGCCAGAGCTCCTGGTGCTTGCCAGCACTCCTGTGTGCCCTGCTCTGGGCCCTTGCCCTCTTGCTCACTGTGACCCTCTATTTCTCCCCACTGATGCTAATTGCCTTTGTCTTCAGCTACCTCTTGTCGGTGCTTATCCTAATTCTTTCTGGTTTAGCCCTCTTTGCTAAGCTCTTCTGCTGCTCATGGCAATATCCGCCGAGGAAGCTCTGCATTGCGGTCTTGCTTGCTGTCATCTCCTTCCCCTTCTTCACTGCTGACTTCGCTTACTGGCTGTTGCTAAGGCTGTTTGATTTTTCGGCTCTTGCTTTTGGCACCTCTCTCCTATTCGCATGTATGAACAGCAGTATTAAACCTGTCCTTTACTTTCTTGCTGGGTGCTGTATGAAGAAGTTCACAGTCTCCGTGAGGGCTGCTTGCCAGAGAGCTTTTGAAGAGGTAATGGAGCCAGAAAACGTAGGTGAAGCTTCCCAAGAAAGCACAGTGGAAATGGATGTTTAATCCATTTGAACCTTTTGCTTGGAATCTTTTGGTTTGAATCTGGCCTATCCAGCAGGGCTGAGCTGTGTCTGTTTCAAAAGGAGCTTGCGCTACTCTGTGGGCTACTAAAGCAGAGCCACAGAGGCTCTCAGTTCCTCATGGTGCTTTGCCTTGGGGCTTCTGCTGAAGGGTTGAGTACTGCTGGGTATGAGGGTCTGGGCAAAACTCTTCTGCTTGCATCTCCATTGTGTGTGCAAAGACTGTGTGGAGACCTCCCATTCAGCTCTTGAACAGACAAGTGAGGCAAAAGAACCTCTACACCAGCAGCATGAAGGCTCCTTTGGGATGTTTCCAGCTCTTTGGACAAAGCTTTTGTGGACATGCTGAAAAGAGAAACATGTCTTTAAATCCTTGGAGCTGCTTTCCTGCAAAGACACTCTCCTCGCAGCTAAGAGCATGAAAAGAATGTAACATACTTACATTACCTACTCCACACTACTGAATTACATTAAATTACTTATGGGACATACTTGCACAGCATTTGCTGTTTGTAAAATGTCATTGGTTGGCTGGGGTGCGTTGCACATGCCTGGGGAAGCCTGGTCCATCAGAGCAGATCCTGGCAGAGGATCTTCTCCAGGCAGAGGCTCAGGAGCAAAGTAAAGCTTTCTTTATGCAGCCACCAGCTGTGAAGCTCTCTGCATGTGAGTAAGACCTGTAGACCCCAAGCTATGCAGATATGAGTGTTTGAGGACGCGGCTTGTCTCATCCAAAGACAGGCCAAGTGAAACAGGTGCCCCTCTGCAGCAGAGCCCTCTTCCCATCACAGGGACACAATCTCTGCTGCCAGCCCCGAGGAACCCTGCCAGGCAGGTAACCACTCCTGGAGCACAATGCCTTATCTCCACACCTGACTGCCTGAAAATATCTGGAAACACCAGGGCTTTTTTGAGCAACTCATACAGAAATCATGATTTAAAAAATGTTATCCATGCAAAACGACTCTGGGAAAGGCCAGCAGGATTTTTGATTTGCAAATCAAACCTGTTTAGCTGCATTCAAAACTTTCTGAACGATGTCTCCTGTTTTTATTTGTTCTTTTTCCCACTAGTAGGCACCTTAGGCAACAAGCTACATATATATATATATCTTTATATATACATATATGTATATAAGTATATATATATACTTCTGACCGATCACTGTCACCTTGTTCTCTGTTCTGGTAAAGGTACATAGCTTCTTTTGCTGTCAGGGCAAGGAGCTGTGCCTACAGTTGATGGAGGTTTATTTGTAATGACAGAGGCAGGGGAGGAGAAGCAGGCACTGTGTCACAGCAGGAATGCTGACATATCTCTTCCCTCTGACATATCCTTCCCCTATGCCATTCCCATATCTCCATCCTCTGGGAATGGCATCCAGCAGCACCCTTCCTAATGCCTAAGAGGGACACAACTCTGCCCAGCCTGGGGCATGAAGGCTGCTAAAGTGACTTCTCCATGGGATCCTTTAATGTGGCACTGAAATCGTGGCTGAGTTACTTGTGTATTCCCTTTGCCTTACTTTAGGAACAAAACCATGGGAATTATAAGGTGTACTAAAAGAACATTACTTTACTGCTATAAAACAAAGGCTGTTAAAGATGCCTTAAAGAAAGCAGACAGCCAGAGTTCTGGTAGAAGTTCATTTCAAATCAGATAATGATTTAGGTTGCTTCTTATGAAACCTGGTTGTCAACAGAGAAAACTGCGACAAGCTGCCCCCCAACCCCAACTCCTGCCATGCACTGGTTGCCCCCCCACCAGCTCAGGCTGCCCAGGGCCCCGTCCAGCCTAGCCTTGGGCACCTCCAGCAATCCCATTATGTCCTCCACCTTCATCTTCCTGTGGCATTCAGTGTTCTGCTGTGATGGTGGTGTGGTGATGGAAGAATTCCCCAGCTCTCTCATCTGCTACTTTGCTGTAGCTTTACAGCCTGTTTCGCCAAGGGGATGGTGGGGATGAGGCCTGGCAAGAGGAAGGTGGAACAGTGAAAGTAAGCTGAGCAAGGAACCATTAACAGCAGGGGCAAAATAGCAGAAAGCCCTCAGAAGTCTCTAGCATCCTGTGGCCATAATGCTCCTTCTACTCATCGTTCCACAGGTGTGGAACCACTCCCAGCCATGCCAGCCCTTTTCCTGGCCCCCAGGCTCCATCACACCCACACCCTGCACCTGGGATGCCAGCAGAACCTTCTCAGCAGCAGCCAAGCAGGCAGAGGCCGGCTCTTGTCTCAGCTTGCTTTGAGAAATCACTAGTGTTCAAATATATAACAGCACCGGGGCTTTGCCCATGCATCTAATTGCGCTCTTAACATGCATGAGATTATGTTTTGTTGGGTACAGCGTGCTGCAACTGTGCTTTTATTCATTTAAATGGCTCCTCTCTCACAGTCTCATCCTTTCGCATTGTCGTCCTCATGGCTTACATTCTCTCTCATGCGTTTTCCATCTTCTGAATCCTTTTTTTGAGAGTTATTGCCTGTTTGTCATCCCCAGTAATGAGATCCTCCAAGGAGATCTTCTGATTTCACATACTGAACACATAGTAAGGAACCTGGTCCAGAGTCTCTCCGAGGAGAGCCGGTCCTGAGACCACAGGTAGACTTGAAACAAGGCTAGAGCAAGACAGTGAATGGAGGTGGAGGTGGGGGTTGAGGCAGGTACAGCTCTTTCACAGCTCAGCCAAAGCCTGGGTACTCTGACCTAACACTACCTGAAGCTCATGGCCCTGTAGTCGGGGTGAATGGAAGGGGTCAGGATAAAGGCCAGCTGCTGCCTTCAGGACCATGGAAGGGGGAATCAGAGGGCCTCAAATTGGACAAGTTAATGTGCTGTGATGTTCAGCATAGTCCACTGTTCTGGCATGTAACACATTGATCTGCAAATCCAGCCCTAGATCTTCCTGGGCTGGGATGTGTCTTTCACAGACCTCTCACTCTCTGCTCGGACAGCCCAGCCTGCATTGTCTGTCCTTGGCACTATGCTCCTCTTCCTTAACCTCCAAGCAGAAGACTCTGCTTGCCCTTGGCTCAGCAGGACTTTTCTTCTGTTGTTTTGTGACTATATCTAACTGCAGTACACACCAGAAAGTATGCCAGAACTCTGCCCCCAAGAAAGCAGGAGAAAGTCTTCCACCAGTGGGTGCACACACCAACAACCAGCAATCCCCACGTGGCAAGGCAAAGCTGTGGATGGGAAGAGGAAAAGGAAGGGGGTGACAGCAGTGTGACAAGTTTGTGAGGTGGGTGAGCTTCCTGACACAGCCTCTCGGCACAGGTCTGCTCTGCAGGATGAAGTAAAGTGGGGTGTTCTGGCAGCTCTTATCGCATGGCAGACCTGGCCCTGTGATGAGCAGTGAGTTGGAGGCTGGGCTCGGGCAGGTGGGAGATGCTGCCTGGCCAGGGATGGAGTTGGAGGCTGTCCAAGGGCACGGCGGGGGTTGGGGTCCTGCCCAGCCTGGCCTGGGGCTGATGAAGGAACGTGGGCAGGGATGGCAAGTGTTGGGAGCTCCGATGCCCCTCACTTGCCTCCCCTTTCTCATCTTCCATAGGAGGTGGCGGGAGAGGGATGAGGCATGCCCCAGAGCAGGAGCTTCACCACGGCAGAGACCACGTCAGCAGGCTTTGTGCTGAACTACACCATTTCTGGGTACACAGACTCTTGTGAAAACACCACGTCAGAATGCTTCACGCTGAATTATGAATATAAGGTCAATTTAGGTGTCTGAATGGAGATTTCTTTCTGTGGACTTGTGGATAACACGATAGTCATGCGACTCCTGTTCTTTCATGTGAAGAAGAATCCACTGTTTACACTCTAAACCTGGCCACTGCTGACTTCTCTCTGCTCCTCCTCTTTGCTCTGCTCGTGTTGTTAGCTTTGAGCTTAACCATCTGTTCTCTCTTTTTCGACATTTTTTTCCTACATGAAAATTTATATCGCAGTTGGATTTTTATGCCACTTTGATCTCGGCAGCCTGGGTCTCCTTACTGCCATCAGTGTGGAGCGGTGTGTCTCTGTCCTCTCCCCCATTTGGTATCGATGCCGTCAGCCAAAGCACTTGGCAGGCATCGTGAGTGGGCTGCTGTGGTCTTTCACTGGGTCTTTGGTTTCCTTCATGTATCTTAGCTTTAACTTTGGTGAAGAACACATGAAAACGTTTGGAGCTGTATCTGTTGCAATATGTGTGGCTTTTTCATTGATGATGTTGATTTCCAACCTGTCCCTGTTCATCAAACTCCAGTGCAATTTTTGGAGATGGCACCCAGGGAAACCATATTGCTGTCCTGATCAACGTGATCTTTTTCTTCGTTTTCATTATTCCTTTCAGTGTGGAACCTTGCAGATAGACTGCAATTGTTTCCCAGAGGCATCTCTCTGCTGCTGGCGATGCTGAACAGCAGCATCAATCCTGTCATTTACTTCCTGGTGTGCCGCTGCTGGCAGCGTTGCTCCCCGTGCTCAGTGACCGCTGCCCTGTGCAGAGTGTTTGAAGAGAAAGCGACCAGTGAGGAGGGGAGCCCTGCACCTGAGGACTGAGTGGCTGAGACCATGGTGTGAAACACTGCTGGTGAGGAGGCCTGGAGATGCAGAGCCTCACTGGCAGTCTGTGGGCTGCTGGGGTGACACAGCTGGAGCTTGATGGGAGGGTGTGTGGCAAGGTGCTGCCAGTGCTGCCCAGCCAGGCTGTGCCGTGTATGGGCTGTATTCCCCAAGGGAATGACTCTTCTTGCCCTGGTCCTGTGAATAAACTCTGATTCCTTGTGGTCAGCAAGTGAGTTTCATGGTCTTTGCGACAATCCGCTGAGGGAGAGTATGGCATGTAATCCCTGGGGGATCGCAGGACATCTCTGCTGTTCAAGCAAGGAAGGGTTCTTCGAAAAGGATTGCACAAATGGGCAAATCAATGGATCAGAGTGGGAAACAAGGGTAGAGAAGCGGGGTAGAGAAGAAGACATGGGGTAACAATTTAGGGGATGGAAGGGAGGGAGAGAGAAGGAGAGAGAGAGATGAGGAAGAAGAGAGGGAGAAACAGAGCATGTGAAAGGAGAAAAAAACCCCAGTGAATTGTCCCCATGGTTCAGATGAATAAGATTTGGTGAGACAAGAATCTCTAATAGGTAAAGCCCCATTTTCAGCCCTTCCCCTCATCCCAGTATAATAAATTCTTGTTCCCTTTGGTCAATAAATAAGTGTTTGTGGTTCTCTGGGAGCATCTATATCTGCCTAATCGAATCTAGGTATAAAGAGAAAGTATCTCTGGACCTTGTATTATTCACTCCAGAGATCTAGAACAGCTATTAAATACTAGACTAACATAGCTGGAATCAGCTGCTATAGAAGAAAATTCACTTTTCTGACATTTTTCACCCCACAGTGACTTGAAGGTTTTTCCTGTATCTAATATAAAAAAATTATTCACCTGGCTCGGTCTTCATCTCTTGTTTTCATTCTTCCCTTTGTGTCTTCTCATTATGATTTGCCTTATCCTTAGTGCTGCCTTTGACAGTCATTTACACATTATTTCCTCTCCCACATGTTGTGCAATGTTGAGCATTCCTGGTGCCACATAGGCCATTTGGTTATCAAGAATACCAGAGTTCTTATGATGGCACCAGCCATGAAGCCAGGAATTTAAAGATAAGGTCCTTTAATTGGTTTCCATTTCCTTACCCAACACAGGAGGCAGAGAAGAATGGATGATCTACGCATTAAACTCCTTCAGCTGTCATTCCAAGGCCACGAAGTCCCTTTTGATAGCCCTTGATCCACATCTCTCCCTATATGGAAAAGCAGTAAGGGGACGTGGTCTGCTGGTTTTACCAGGCTAGGTAGTCTCCTGGTGATATTCCTCACCTGACCCCCAGGAAGGCAGCAGACTCATCTAAGAAGAGGGCATGAAGAAGCTTGGCATGTTGGTCATTCCCAGGCTTCAGGGCCTTGGACAGCTGGCTTTTGAGGGGCATATACTTAACAGCCAGCATGACGTAAGATGCTGAGGAGAGGACAAAATCATGCAAGAATTTGGAGAGATGGGAATCAGCCAAGTGTGGAATAAGTGCAGAGGAAAAAGAATAAGACAACCTAACAGAAAAGAAAGAAAAGTAAGTGGAATGTTGCTACTTAGAATTATAGGAGATGGGCAGGCGTGGCTGCACAGTGACTGTGCGTGCATGTATGCCTATGAGAGGAGACAGAAAATGGTACAACAGGGAGACAGAGCACCAGTGATGTAGATGGTGCCATGTAGATGGTGAGGAATTGGTCAACTTAGCTCTCAAGTGCTTACCTGTGCAGCTGAATTGAGCTCTCAAAGAATCTGGCATCTGTAATTTGCTTCAGGCTGTCTTTCACTTAGTTTCTAATTTATCCCATTGGATTTTTGGGAAGGTGAAGATGTTTCTATCTTCAGGTTTCAATGTGTGTTCTTTAGTACCAGCACAGCAGAGCAGGTTCTGACAGGAAGGAATGTGTTTATTGCGTGGAATAGGATGGGGTGAAGTCAGAAGCAACTGAGAAAGGGGTTCTTCTATGTCATGAGGCAAAGCCACGTTTCTGCTCTGGTTGCTCTTAGATCAGGTGGGGAGCAAATCACCTCCCAGAAATTCCATCACTAGTGCTGTGCTGGTATACATCTTGAATCTTTGGAAGGCTTTCTATGCACTTGTACTAGGGCCAAATGCTCTTAAGCTAGGGATGTATAAACAAGCAGCTAAGAAGAGATAGAAGAAATTCTCAGAGGAATGGAATTTGTTTCATTTTGTCTTTCTTCTGAAATCAGATTTGACAGGGATTAGATTATCTAAGAGAAAGTATACATTTTCCCAACTTTTCCTCCAAAATGCACTTCCTGTGCAGCGTCCCACCCCACATACTGTCACTGACACCATGTACAGCAAAAGAAGGTGATGACAGTGCCTTCAAATGAGACACAGGCACCACAGAGCAATAACAGGTAATAAAGAAGGAAGATTGGCTCACCCCTTCCAACAACCAGTGATAGCTCAAGAGAAATACAATCTCTATGCAGAGAGATGCTACTCTCTCCACTGCCAGCCCTTAAATGAAGGTGAGGAGGGGTGGATCCAGGCTTTCAGTCCTCCAGTCACTCAGGTGCACTGTTTGCACCTGAGCTCCCTGGCTTAGCCAGGCCTTTTCACCTGGTGCTCAACCACTGGCTCAGGATTTGACCCAGTAATTTCACTGCACCCCACAAGAACCAATGGCTCATCCCGATGGGGTGAGGAAGAGAGAGTTCTAACAACGTGTCTGTGCAAGTTGTGGGATGGATAGGTGTTGGCCCCAGAGGGACAGGTCACCCTCCAGGTGCCATACTACGAGGAAGCAATGGTCTTCCTCCTCTTTCACATTCAGTGATCGCCTTTGAGCAGATCTGACCCACATTTTGTGATGTCATTACTTGACTTTGTCATCTCTATTAGTTAAAATCAAGCAGAGTTTGATGTCAAGCTGACAATTCTTTTATACATGACTTCTTGCCTGCAGACACTTTGAAATGCTGTCTCCAGTCTGGGTAGGGCTGAGTGACCATGTTAAGCTTTTAAAGCATACAACTTGTAGGGCCTGAGGTGGGGTTTTTGAAACGTTCTCACCAGCAAGCCTGTTTGCACTGTTTTACCTCCCCTGCTCTCCTTTTCATCTGATCCCAAGTTGCTCTGTGGGTTGTGAGACATCACTTCGCTGTGAGCTTACGAAACCCCTAAACAGTGCAAAAGAAAACTGTCTAGAGGTATTGCCTCTCCTCCCACTCCCAGTTAGCTGATTCTGACTCTCCTCCTTCCAACAGCACAACACAGCCTTCTCCCTGCCTGCTTCCCCTTCCTTCCTGTGGCACTGTTATGCTTTCCACTGTGCTAGTTCAGGGTGGAAAATCCTGCCAAGGATGTCCATTTCATTGCTGACTTCTGGACCACAAGAAAGCACTGCAAATATCTGCAGATGCCACCTCTGAGAATGCCTGTCTCACATCACACATGGGTGCCTGCAGTTGTCATCTACATACAAGTGTCACCTTTTAAACATCCAAGGGAAAAGCCAGAAGGTGTGTTTGCTCTGCACGGCGCTTGTCTTCATGATGGGTACATGTAGGGACAACCAGGATGGAAAGTTTTTCACAGCGTACGTTCCATAGATTTTCATCAGTTGATGGCTTCTTCTGAGAAGACAAACATTTAGCTTTTAATAGAGCTTGTTTTCCATTAAAAAAAAAAAAAAAAAGCCTTGAAACATTTTTAATAATAAAGGAAATGAGCTGAGCCTCTTCTCTCCCAGTGATAAAATCATTACAGATATTAAAAAGAATACATTTTAACATGCTTTCAGATAAATGGACGGTCTCTTCCCCCCATCAGTAGAAGCCAGAAGCAAAGAAAATCTCACTAAAAACAACTGATGACATAGGCCTAGTCTGAATCAACTATGTGTATGATGCAGAAAAATCTCATTAAAAATTAAAGAATAATAGAAACGAGACTCAATTTTTCGGCTTTCAAAAACTGTGAAGAGGAAGTAAAAAGCAACCACAGATGCTGGGGTGACCACTATTTTTAAGTGGTATTTTTTCAGTATTTAAAAAAAAGGCAAATGAACAGAGAAAAGGGAATAGACAGTACAAGAATGCAGCTTCCCTCAAGAAACTAATTGCAGATGAGAGTACGAAGAGGAAATCAGCAAGCTTTCTCATAGAAAATGTCTTGTATTATCTTATTCTATTGAGTTAGGTTAAAAGAGCAAATCTTGTGTGGAGTAATAGTCTAACATTTCAAACAATCACATCTTATGTGTCCAGTCATTGGGGCTGAAAAGAATTTCTTGCAAATTTCTGATATGTACTTATCTTCCATTTTCTGTTTTATTATTTTTTTTCTTTTCTTTGAACTTATTTCTTCCAGTAGGTCAAGACGTGTTGGATGCCATGTTCTTATTGTCTGGGAAGGGAAGAAATAACAAATTCTTGCTGCAGTTAAATGCAGGTACTTTTGTGCTGTGTTGGAGAAAGCTAAAATGATACACAACTCTGACTCTGTATTTACTTGAAATGCAAGAAAACAGTGCATGCAACACAGTGCATGGAGTTGCAAGGCAAATTGGAAGGGGATGGAGCTCTTTTCTACTACATTACACCCACAGTGTGAAACGCTCCTATTAACTAATAACTATTAACTAATTAACAGAGATTTCCAGAACATGAAGCATTTCACTATTTGAAATGCTCACATTAGAAAGCAAAGAATCATTCACCGTACAAGTCACAAAGATTGCATATGTTGCTGATGTGCAAATAGTTAAAATTAATGGAGTTGGACTCTCTTCTGGGAATCTCTTTTCTGATTTCAACAGGAAGATCATAGATCCGCCCTCATCTTCAGAGATTTGTGTAAAAAAAAGCGACTGAATATTAATGCTCTGAGAAACAGAACTTAATATTGAGTGGTAAACTGAGCAGGATTCCTGTGATGAAACGCAGCCACCAAGGCATTTCGCCTTATCATTTAATAGCTGCTGAGAAGAAATGCAGTCCTAATGTGGGCAGAGCCTCAAGTAACTGGTGAGAGGGCAGGTGTTCAGAATGGAGACTGCTAAGGTTGGGTGGGACGGACCTCCAGCAGTACCTCAGAGTTCTTCAGCCCTGTGAGCAATCACCTCTCATCTCCAGAGCACTGCTGCTGAGTGGGCACAGAAGGGTGTTAGGAGGACATAGTTATTGTGTCTCGGGTATCCCGTTCCTCTTTGTCATCTGCCGAATCTTCAAAGGCCCTTTGGAACGCCAGCCTGAGGGTGAACTTGATCCTCCGGTCCCTGTAGCTCCCCACAAGGAAGTAAATGACAGGGTTGAGAGTGCTGTTCACACAGGACAGCACAAAGCCGATCTCGGGGGAATAGAGGAATTTGTAGCCCAAGAAGTCAAAGAGGATGAGGACGCTGAGAGGCACGGCAAAAATGAGGAAGAAGAGCACGGTGAGCATGATGACGGTGAAGAGCCGTCCTGTTCGGAAGTTCTGGGAGCTGCACTTGACTCTGAGGAAGAGGGTCAGGCTGAAGAACACCATGAGGGGTGTGCAGACCAGGAAATCCAAGACGCCAATGGCAATGAGCAGCATCCAGCAGCTGCCGGAGGGGCGGATGGAGCACAGAATATAGCCAGCCGTGTTCAGTAGCAGAGAAAGGCCCCAGAGCGAGCCGGAGATGATGGCAGACAAGTGCTTTGGGCGGTGGCTTCGGCACCAGATTGGGCAGAGGACGGAGAGGCACCTTTCGATGCTGATGGCTGTCAGGAGATACAAGCCGGTCCCGTACATGAAAAGATCCAGGAAGAGGAATATCCCAAACTGCACTCCTACGTTGAACTGCATCAGATACTGGATGCTCTCGATGGCGATGCAGAGGAGATAGCCAAAGTCAGCAGCAGCCAGGTTTAGGATGTAGACAGTGAAGTGGTTTCTGCGGATGCAGAAGCCAAGGTACCATAGAACCACGCCATTTCCCACCATCCCACAGGTGGCACTGATGAGGCAGAAGCTCTCCATGAACTTGAGAACGGCATATGATGGCTCTGGCTTTCCTGCAGCGCTGCTGTGATTAGCTCCTTGGACCTGGTTGTCTGTGTCTGGGAGGAAGAATGGTGGAGTCGAAGTACTCATGTTGGGTGAATTTGCACACACCTGCGGGCAGAGAGGAAAGAGGTGGTAACTGGTGAGTTTCCCTCATGATAACCCGATGGTGTTTCTGGATTCATCCCAGTTCTCTGTAGCCAGAGCTAGATGGCAGAGGGAGAGAGGGCAGAGTTTTACTTCTCAAAATGTTGTATTTCAGGCCAAATTCTATACAGCACGTAGGAAAATTTAAACCACGTTTGTCACTCCTTTGTTTTAATTCACTTCTGAGGCCTTTTTACAGTGGAAAACATGCTTTTTTAAAAAGAGCAGGAGCATCTCAGGTTAATCGTGCCTGAAAAGTACCTCTTTTTGTTGCCTGAGTAAAAGAAGAACCCAGTGTTCACAAATATGGCACACGTGTCTTAGCATCATGCTGGTAGGATTAGGTGAGATAAGTTTTGTCAGAAGTGTGTAAAAGTTGCAGGCAGTCTACATACAACTTTAAGCAGTGTTACAGCTCATTGAGGTTTGCCCTATGCATAATGCACAAAAAACATGGTAGAGACTACTATATTGTAGATGACTGATTCTGATTTTAACAAGGTGTAGTTCATTGTAACAGGGTTGACCCCTTGGGCTGTGGGTATCAACAATCAGCAGTTCGGCCTGACAGAGTCAGCCTTTAATTTTCTTAGAGAAATGGTAAGAACCACACATGGGACAAAGCACCTGACCCTCACAGGACACTGTGACACTCACAGGAATTCGTAGAATCACAGAACCACAGAATGGTTGGGTTGGAAGGGACCTCAAAGCCCCCCCAGCCACAACCCCTGCCCATGGGCTGGCTGCACTCCACCAGCTTAGGCTGTGCAGGGCACCATCTAGCCTGGCCTTGGGCACCTCCAGGGATGGGGCATCCACAGTCTCTCTGTGCATTCTGTGCCAGGGCCTCACCACCCTCTGTGCTAAGGATTTCTCACATCTAACATAAATTTCCTATCTTTTAGTTTAGAGCAATTCCCCTTTGTCCTATCACTATCTGCCCATGTGAAAAGTCAGTCCTTCTCCTGCTTATAAGCTACTTATAAGAAGTACTGGAAGACAGCAGCAAGGTCTCCCCGGAGTCTTCTCTTCAGGTTGAACAAGCCTTGCTCTTCCTCAGCCTGTCTCCATAGGATAGGTGCTCCAGCACTCTGAGCATCCTCGTGGCCCTCCTCTGGACTTGGCCCAAGACCTTGGTCCAGCTGAGGGCCCAGTGCTGAACACAGTGCCCTGGCAGCGCTGTCAGAGAGGTCAGAGAGGGAGAATCCCTCCCCCTGCAGGGCATGCTGATTTTGATGCATCCCAGGAGGTCGTTGGTTTTCTGTGCCAGCTCAAATTGAGATTATGGCTTAACAATTTATTTCACCCCATTCCTTGGGGCTTTTCACCCTACTCCTTCCCCCATGATACTGGGATCTGAATGAAAATCTTGCAAAACACCAAAAGCACCAAAACCGACAAACCAAACCAACCAACCCCCAACCCAAATATTGCTGCTTTTTTTCTTTATCTCCACCAGCTCTTAAATCAGACACAGGAAGGTAGAGAAGTGCATTGAAAGACAGCAGCAAGAGAGGAACAAGTCAAAGTGGCGAGGTTCGGGAAAAAGTGAATCATTGGACTGTCACAAACGGCCTCTTCCCTCTTTGTAAAATGCCACCTTGCACACTACCTACACAGGCAAAGTGTGATTGATGAACAAAATCATTTTCGTTTCATCTTACCACTCCAGACACATTGCCTTCAGTACTGTGTGGAGAACAGAGGTGAGATAAATGCATGCTGCAGAAGGATTCTTCACCCAGCTGATGGCCTGGGTAGAGGACGCAATCTCGCTGCATTATTCTGTAGCAGGCACAAACACCAGCAATGCTTGGTTGGGATTTCTGCTGGGGCCATTACACCTAGCATTCTCTATTAGAAATACAAATATCTCATTTAAAACAACCCCGAAATTTTCCATTTGAATTAATCGAGGTTGATAAACACCTCCAGGAGTCATGTATGTAGTCTCAAGATAGGTGTCTTGGGGAGTCATGCAGTCAGCTGCCTATCTTTGCTGACAGCAAACGCAGAGTGCCACCTTCAATGAGGGGCTCAGTGTGTGCACAAGACAGCCAAAGGAGGCTGATCTTTGCCACAGCTTGCAGGATTTGAAACCTTTAGTACTTTCTGGAAGCAGGGAAGCAGGCACTGCACAGTATTCTTCTGCAGGACGCTGGATATTGCCATCCTCATCTATGTGTATGACATCCTGTGCTTCCAGTGGGAGGACTTTAGAGATCCATGGTCTCTGAAGAAAGAGTTTAAGTATGTACTGAAAGGGATTGTGGAAAACAAAAAGCACAATCTAAAGCACAGAACCTCTGTTTTAGCACAGTGCGTTTTGCAGCAGGTCTGTCAGCCCCGTGTGGAACACCCCTGAGAAAGAAATCTGCTTTCCTTACCTGGAGAGGGCACAAACTGCCTGACCAGCAGCACTACCAAAGCTGCCCCCTCCCCGATCATCCATAGCATGCAAATGGAAAGACGTGGCCTCCTAACATCGTGGATTTCCTCTCTATCTCCAGATGAAAAAACATCAGTAATTTTGCACTCTGCTGTTATGGAAATTAAGACATCCTTCTTTGACTGGGGGAAAGAACATCCAAAAAGTCACTTACAGTTCTCACATCTCTATTCTATTCTGTGTAATTTGTTAATGGAAGCCTGAATCAAACAACAGCTAGCAGAGTCTAGGTGATCTTTTTCTTTCTTGGGATTAGGCATCCTGCCTGTGGTTTACGTGCTGAGCAGCATGCAGGTCTTGTGGCAGATGTCAGTCAGGAAAGATACCGCAAAGACCAAGAACACAAAGTTATGCACTTGTGTTTTCTCTGCTAATCTTAAGTGATCATCTAAGATGAAAGCTGCTAATGTCTTTGAATAGAGCCTCTTCTTTTACAGAGATGCATTTATAGCAATATGATAGCACTTATTCATGGAAAGGTATTCCCAGAATGAGGCTTTTCCCATTGTGAAAATAACGAAGACAATCACACACCTACAGTCAGTTTCTAACCAGCAGGAGAGGGGAAACGTTTGATTTCCTCTCTGCCATTTTTTCCCCTCCCTTCTCATTACCACTTCTCCAGAAGCATGATAAAAAGCATCAGACAGAGCGCAAGGGCAAAGACAAAATTAGACAAGGGCAAAGGAGAAATTTAGGAATTTCTCACCTTTTTGTGGATTCTTTGGAACTTCGGTGACTGGTTTGCAGCAGCCACCTGGTGTGGGAAAATTCCCTGGTGCCAGGGAAAATTACAACCTGAATTCTATGCCGTGTGGTCCAGATACAACACTTGTGTTACCGCTCATGTCTGCACTGCAGCACTGGGCTATTTAAACACTGCCTAAAAAGCCGTGTCTGTTCAATGTGCTGAGAACCAGCCAATCATTCTCTTGGGGAAACATCTTCTTAGTTGTTTGTGGTTACTTAGATATGAACTTCTTCCCCTTTCCCTCTGCACGGAACCTGTCACTGTCATGGCTTTGGAAATGATTTTTTTTACCAATTCTCCTTTCTCCATCGAGTCTGACAAACTATGAAAGCAAGAACTGTCTGTCCAAAATCATACTTAGCCTTATGCACCAGTGCTTCATTTCCCATTTGAATCCTCAAAATACTGCACTTTCAGTCCGTGCAGCAAACGCCTTACTACTGCTCTGGGGAACACAGGTTGAGAAATTGTCAGTCACCTTCTATAACGCCTGCTGCTCATTTCACAACTTCCCTCTGCACAGCTTGTCATTCTCCAAGGGCACACTGCCAAACATCACATTTTCATTAACACACCCATCACTCTTCTGACCCCCAGCCTCTAGTTTGGTCCCCGCTGCTTCACACAACCTCCCCTGGAGGAGGGTCCATCCGACCTCCATAGCCTCACCACACCTTCAGAACCACAATGGCAGACTCTCTGGAGTGATGCCCTTAGCACTCAAAACCTGCTCCCGATGTCATCAACTCCTCACATGCAGCTTCAAACTCCACGGTATTACCTGCCACTTCTGTCTTTTGGCTCAGTCCTTCACCGCTCCTCAGGCACTTCTGATTGCACAGACTCCAACCTCATGCCTTCTGTTTCTTGTTTCAGTTTCCCCCTGCTCACCATCACGATCACATCTCTTCCTCATCTCATGCTTCTCAGCACTCAAGACATTTCAACAGAACACACAGTGTTTTCCTCGTTAGTTTTTCTTTTGCTCGCTCTCTTCTGAATCATTCATTGCTTTGCCAGTGGGACTGGTGGTGTCTGTTTCCAGTTCTGCTCTGGCTTGGATGAAGTCCATTTGTTTCTTTTCCACTGCATACAGGGCAGCCTGTTGCACTGTTTTTGTCCTGTTTTCTGTAGAAAACCCGCGTGAGTGATAAGTTAAAAGAAGAGAGAAGGAGAGAAGCAGGAAGGGAGATACAACAATTTGATTAGAAATCGATATCATGTTGTTCTTAGTGATCTTTTTTTCCCCCTAGATATACACTAGAAAAAGAAGTATCCATGCAAATTTTACTCTGCTTGAATATTTTTCTCCTACTGTTAGTACAACTGTAGGCACAAGAAAAGTCCCTTACTTTCCCCACTTCCTCTCTAGTTTGCGGGTTTGAGAGTAATCTTGGGTTTTCTCCATTTCAGTGTTTCCTGGGGATGCTTGATCTCTGATGGTGGCTTTTTTTGGCCCACACAGGAGTTTCTGGTTATGCTGTAAATTTAAGTACGTGCTACAGAATTTGAATAAGCTGTATAATTTCACATCATTCTCTGCTCAGAGATCACCTGCACAATATCAGGGAGAACTGATGCTGGATTCATTGGCCAAGACTTGCAATGGTGAATATTAACAGCAGTTGACCTGAGAACGTCATCAAACTAAAATGCATCCTACATAACTGATAATTTACTTTTAAGAGTGCCTACTTTTGGTTAAATACTGCGAAGATGTACTGCTTTCTGGGCAGTGGAAAAAGAAAGGGTGCTGTGAAGGCCTCCAATTTAGCCTTCCTGCTCATAGGGAGTTCTATACCAACAACCATCCAGATAAGTTTCATCCAGCAGGTGTGAACATGTGGTAATATCCTCCAGAGTGCATAAGAAAGCATTTCACACCATGAAACACTTCACACCGTGCTGGAACAGACTCTTTGAAATGATCCTTTCATTCTTCCTTCCTCACCAGGTAGCACTGCTGAGATTTAACACAAGATAAATACTGAACTCATACATGACTAAACAAATTGTTTGCTGTTTTCTCCATGGCATACAGCTTCCCTGACACCATTCATTAGCCCATGACACTGCAATTTTTTTCAAGATGTATACACATAAGAGAGACTTTTTTTTTTTTTCCTGGAGTAGCTTAATTTCCCCTCTAAACATCAATTCAAAGATTATTTTTAACTATAAAACAAATCAGCATTCCAAGTAATATTTCCAAGTACTCTTGAAGATGCTATTTTGGCACGTACTGTATTCACTTGGTCTAAAGTGAGAGAAGGTATGAGAGAATGCATGATCCATTCTGTGTCCTGGTTGTGACTGAGATGAGCACACTGGCCTTGCTTCAGCACAACAACCATAGTCCTTCAAAATCCTGGAGGGCCAGGATGGAGAAAGGGAGCACAGAGCACTCCTTTCTCAATACACTTACAGTTACTCTAAATGAAGTTTCCTTCAAGGAGGATTAAATACCTAGGGAAAAAAAATATATATTGGAAAGCAATCACTTTGTAGCTTAATAGCAATCCCACATATTTCATAGCCTGCGTGCACTTCTGGTATAGAATTCATTATCATTAATGACATCAGTGATGAATCACGTATCTTTATTATGCCATGCACACAGGCGGTGCTTTTCATATGGCTACCCAACTGATGAGCACGGGGAATGCAAGCAGTGCAAAGGAATTCATTCCTAATGAGAAGCAATGAGAAAAAAGTGCCATGAGAAAGCTGTGGAGTGGAAAAGTGGGAAGTGAAAAGGGAAGGGTATAGAACGATGGTTTCCAAAGAACAGAGAAAATCAAGCAACTCTCACAGTACTTTATTTTCTAAGAATTACCCCCCAAAATCACTTTCATGTAAAAGCTTGTTGCTAGCTCACACTGAAGGTTCATCTTTTGATTTGAAGGACATTGTAAATTCTATGACAAGTTGACATTTCCTTCCTGTTCTCTTGCCAATGAGCAGAGGCCCCAGCCTAGGGCTCCCGAGCACCAACTGAAACACCAGCAAATAAATAAACACTATCAAAAATGCCAAAAATGCCGTCCAGGTTGAACATCCCATCTGTTAGAGCTCTCCCAGGCAGACATCCCACCTCCTCTGTCAGTCATTCAGCTGGGGAATAGAGAACGGAGGTCACTGACAGCGCTGGAACTCGCTGCCCACAGGGGCTATGGAGTCTCTTCCTCTGGACATAGCCCAGATCCATATGGCCTGTGTGACCTACTCAGGAACATGCTTTAGCAGGGCAGTTGGACTCTGTGACCAACAGAGCTCCCTTCCAATCCCTACAATTCTGCAACTCCGTGATCTGCTGCTAGGAGGAGTCACACTGAAGGAGGCCCCTTTCTGCTCGCAGCAATCCCACTGTGTGAATCTTGTTGTAAGAATCACACTGTGGGATCTTGAATCCATGGGTTATCAATGAATACCCTGATACTGGGTGCCAGCTGGGTCATTTACTGAGGCAGATAATCAGTAGGAAGGCTTTTTCTCTTCCTCTGCAGTGCAACAAGTCTTTTCTGCTGTACCTCGTGTACTTCTGATGCCATCCTTCCAACCATCACTTCTGCCCTTCAGCTCTAGGTCAGATTCTTTATCTTAATGTATAGATAGATACAGAGCCACAGATCCAGTGGAAGACATGTTGTCAGCAGTATGAACTACAAATGAAGTAGCCACTGAGGAAGGCACTGGAGACACAACGTAATATGGCAGTGGAAAATGGAGCTTGGAAGCTATTCCCATAGACAAGATACTTGTTACTCCAGCAGGGCCACGTTTGCACACCTCTGCAAGGGAAGAAGCATATTGTGCAGAGGAACAGCTGGCAAATCTACTACTACAGGAGGGGAGAGAAGAAATGTCAGGATGAAAGACCAAACCAGCACAGGACCAGTCAAGGCTGTCACAAAGTGATGAGCTATAGCAACGTAGCACCTTAACATGACATAAGTAAGATTTAAGGTTACAAAGTATTCCTAGCCCAAACTAGGGCTTATAATAAACATTTCTTTTCGTATGCTTTGGGATGGACACCAGGATTTCTCTGGATATTTCACTTTCGGGTCCTTTTGGACAAAAGTCTGTACCTTGCAGGAAGCGTCACTGAAAATGGAACTAGACTCCTCTACACACTGATAAGACTCTTATAAGATTCTAAGGGGCTAAGCAGCAGCTCCTGTGTGTGCTTTGCACTGTCTGAGCAAAAACACTTGCTAAGAAGAGAGGACTTACCACAAGCCTTTCTAAAATTTTGGAATGATTTCCCGCTTTGCTTCTTTTTTTTTTCCTTACAAACTTGTACAGACCAGATGTCTAAGGGATAATAGTCCACAGCACAGTTGTGACACTTATTTGTACTGTCAATATGCAATGGTAAGTTAATAAGAAATTTTAACTCATGTCATGAAGAAGACACCACTTTACTTCAGGAGCATTTGATGGAAAAGTTAGGGTGAATAAAATTCTTGTAAATGGCCAACTGTGAATCAGAAATAAACTTTGAATCAGAAATGCTTCCAGAAGACATTCAGTAAATAAAGTCTTTCTACCTGAACAGCACTAAAAGCCCACCCCAAAAAAAAAGCCAGGAGTCCAACGCATGCACAGTGCAACATAGTCTGGATGATCACTCCAATATCACCCACCACAGACTGCTCTAATAGCAATCCACTGGACAATTTTTAGCTCCTTGTCCACTGATGACTTCTGAAAATCTTCGTATGCCTCTAGGACCTCATTATTCCTGCCAGCCTTGTTCTCCTCCTTTGTGATTTACTTATTTCTGCTACGATTTCCCCATTTGTGATAGAAAGTTGTTCTTGCAGATGCTCCTTCAAGTTGGTTCTTGCAGAAGGAGAAATACAGATAGAGTCAGGTTGTTCATTTTAGCCACCACAGTCTTTAAAATTGGCAGAGAGGTAGACTGCTCTCGTGACATCTGAGCAGTAACTTGCAGCTGGGCTATTTAGGTGAAAACACCCGAAGTGGTCAGAGGAGGTCATTGGAGGAGCAGCAGCAGGTGAACTCTTGAAGACTGATAAATCGTGTTAAGTTTCCTAATGTTGTTATTTTGTTCTGTGCCACCTTCAAAAACAGGTAGTTGTGTCACTCGACTTTTGTGAGGCCCATTTTATTAACTGGAAAAAGGCCTTTAAGTAGGGGAACTGTTTGGTCACAGCTGGAAGTGGTGATGGAGCACCTGGTGAAGGGCCGTGGATGGCCCAGGGTCACCTTGTTTGCATCTGTGGTCCCCAAGTGACCAGAAGGGCTGGCCCCACGCAGAGCCATCCTGTGCTCACATGAGGCCAGCTACCGAAGGTAGGGCATCTCTTGGACCTGTGCTGCTTCCCATGAAGGAGTGCTGCACAGCCAGAGAGCCCCTTCACCAGTTGAGTGAGTTCCATTCCTCTTTCTGTATGTGACTATTGGCTTACCTGGGAATGTTTGGCCTGGCATTGCCAAGAATCGGAGCTTTTTATGATACACTTCAATAACATTTTGAGTTGGATAGTTGCTGCTGCTCCTTAAGTGAAGGATTGATTTAAAAGGGAAAATGCTTGCCCCCTCCCCCCCGAAAGGAAATATGATTAATATTTAGAATACTAGTGATGAGTATTAACGGGTACAGATAACATTCCATGCCCAGTGCCACAGCTGGCAGCTCTTTTCATTGCTTCAGGTCCTGTCTGCTTGGTATCTGTGGAGAACAAAAACAACACAATGGAGTGGTGACTCACACAAAATAAGACAGTAACAGAAGTGTACTTCTTGTTCTTCCTAGCCTTCTATTCCACTACCTTTCTGGAAACCTGCTTATCATCACCATAAAGACCAGCTGGATTCTCCCATGTACTTCTGAAACTACTTGTCTTTTAGAGACGTAAATTATTCTACTATAATAGCTCTCAAATCATTTATGCCATGTTCTTGATAAGAAGACCATATCTTATGGGTTGCATTGCTCAGTTGTTTACTGGCCATTTCTTTGGCTCCACCAAGTCCTTCCTTGTCACAGTGATGGCTTGTGGCAGTTGCGTTGCTACAGACAATTCTCTTCACTACACCAGTGTTATGAATAAACATGGCTGTGGCTGGCTACTGACAGCTTCTTGGATGGGAGGCTTTGTGCATTCACTGATGCAGGTCTTGCCAATCTTTAGGCTTGCCTGAGCCACACCGAGTGAATAAGAACTGTTTTTTGGGCTGCATATACATTTGTTGCAGTGAAAGTAATGCCTTCTGTTTATTTCCATGGAAACTACAACAGGTACAAGGAGCACAATAGCCCTGTTTAATAGAGCATGTTCTCAGCTACAAAACACTGTTTTTCATCATACTCACCATCATTATGTATGCATTTTTGCCAGCAAATTTTCTTTTGCTTCAGGCCGCACTCCTTAAAATCTGCACCAAAATCTATCACCACATCCACTGCTGAAATGCACCATCCACTGTGCTGACATCTACAATTTGGCCTCCAGAAACAAGCAAGCAAAAAGACATGAGCAGATTTTTTTTCTGAGTTGAATAACCTGATTGCAGCTCAGTACTACATTTGAGAGTTCACAGGTAATTTATTTACGTCCACTGAAAACAGAATCACAAATATCACAAACCCCCCAAAATGATTTTATTTATTTATTTATTTATTTTTGAAACAATCTTGAAACCCCTTCTCAAATTACTCCAACAGAATGGAAAGCATGGCTGTATATTTCCAGTTATTCACAAGACTGTGGGGACAGTGCCGGCTCATGTCCAGCTTCCCAACCTTCCCCTTCTCTTGCTTCTCCTCCAACCAGTATGTTGGTGTGATCTGCATTGCCTTCATTGTCTTCTGCCCAGTTGTGAATACACTCACCTACACCCTGAGTAACAAAGAGGAGAAGGAATCCATGTGGAAGCTGTGGCACGGCTGCAGATTCTCTTGAGACAAGCTGGGTTTGCAGGATGCATGGGGTTGCCTTCCTACAGACTGCTGGCAGGCCGGGGCATGGAAACAGAGCTGGAATCCAACATGGGCAATACTTAAAATGCAGATGATATTTAGATCCAGTTCACTAGTTTACCAAACCTTCATTTCTTCATTGGTTTCATTGGTACCCCTGTCTGCGTTACATGCTTTAGGTCCCCTTAGTCTGCAAGACAGATGAGGTATTTTTAAGTGTGTTGCTATTCACAGAGCTTTCCAATTATAGTTGTGGTTTCTGATGCCATTTAGAGCATCCTTCTTTGCACCCCCAAAGAGAAGGCAGGAGGACCAGGCTCATAAGTATAGAGATGTGATGGGATTATTTATTGAACCTTGTGAAGCACTGAGTGAATGACAACGTGGACCACTCTCAGATGTCTGGGATGAAACTCCAAGAGAAAAGGAATTGTGTTGTAGGATACAGTAGGGTCCAAATAACAATCATGTAAGCTGAAGTGGGAAACATTCAGCAGCCTTGGAACAGTGCTTGGAAAAAGTGAACCAGCATTATGCAATGGTGCCACTGCTCATTAAGAAACACGCAGGACTTCTGAAGGCATGCAGCATTCTGCTCCTTGAGCTACAAAGCAGAAAGACGTTAACAACTGTGGCCTTTGTCAGTCTTTGCCTTTCTTGTTGTCTAACCTTTGCTTTTCCGTGGATGGATCTGTAATGCTCATCTATTTCTCATAAAAATATTCTCGTATTCTCAGCACGGATTAAAAGCAGCTACAACAAAACTCCAAAAAGGCTTGCATCAGGCTAACAGCGTAACTTCTAAGTGTATGTACAGACACCAGGAGGCCAAAGGTCTTTAAAGGAAGCCCAGAGTAACCCAGTCCTTGTTAGAAAGGTCTACGGGCAGTTATGCACCAACTCTGCTTGTGTCACACCAGAATTTCTGAAATGAACATTGAGGTTATTTCCCCATTTGGAAAACAAGCAACTGTGCCTGTGTTGAAACCCAGCGCTATGGCAGAATTAAGGGTTGCATATGAGGGAATATCTGACTTTCCATCATAAAGAAGAAATAGGAAACAGGTCTTTCACCACTAACGTTTAAGGCGTAGAAAAATAAGTTCCCTCTCACAAGAAGCAAGAGCAGTTTCTTTTTAATGTTAGAATCAGATATCGAAGACCAGCAGAGCAGCAGAGTAGCATGGCCATAGCTGACACAGTCAGCATTTCAGGGCACATGAGAAAGCAGCAGGGTCTGTTTGCCTTTATTCTGCCTCCTGGATCCCCCAGTTTGAAGGACAAGGTGTGCATTTTTGTTCTCCATCCATGCTGGCGATGTAAGGTATCTGATCTCAGAAATAAGTTAACTTCACTGCTGTTGTACATCTGATTCTAGGGTACGACTGTGTCTATTCTAAAAGACGATCAGTGCCTGAGAAGTGGGGTTTTTTTTGGCCACTAAGGAAATTCAGAATGGTAAGATCAGATGGACTCACTTCTGGTGCATCTTTGGGTGAGAAATCAACGCATTTATCCATAATTAGAGTAACCTAGGGCAGCCTGTTGCTGAGGCTTATAGGAAGATTCACTCTCAGATATATATTCTGTTCATATTCGAACAGAATATGCCTGATAGCTTTTTGTCACCAAATGAAGATACAGCACAGTGCAATGATATAGCATTGTCCAACACAACAGAAGATTACCAGCAATTAATTTCATGTCAGGTATTAACAAAATATAACACAGTTATATATAACTGATGATATTAAAAATAGATGCTGAAATACAGAAACTGTCTAAACAGCTTCACTTGTGTGAAGACACCCTAAATAGGTGCCATCTATCAGTGACATGTACTAATGTTGTCTGAAGTAAGCTCCCTCTGCACTGTTGGAGACAGGCAGCTCCTCTATCCTCACAGTGAAATCAGCTTGCAAACGTTGGTTGGCTGACATAAAGGCATAGAAACTTGGCATACCTGCCCCAGATTCTATCTCAGTGCTGGCAGTGCTTTGTGCTGAACTTGCCACTGGATGCTACAGCACAATAAGTCCTTGGCTTTTTAAAAAAGGAAGAATGATGCCAAATGCAAAATGGGAGGAATTTAACCAGATGATCTATAATTTTGCACTTATGTCCATCACACCAAACTTGAAACACACAAGATTTATCAGCTGAAAATAATAGGGAAAGTAATTATTCCCCCAGTATTAGCCTGTAGGAAGGATGTCCACATATCTGCGTGGAACTAAGGGTGAGCCTTAGGGTAAAACCAAAGGACTCTCAGGAAGTCTTGGGATGGGGATGACAATAAGCCTAGGAGGAAAATTGTCCCCTTGCAAACTTGTACGAGTCTGCCAAGGCCAGGTGATGACATCCTCTTTGCAGCCTCTGAACACCTCCCTGTGTTACTGCCTGGAACAAACAAATATCAGCCTCAGGTTTCTGTAGCACATTCTGCTTGTTGCTACCATTATCTCTGTGTTGCTGCTCATGACATCCAGGCCAAGAGCCAGTCCACACCGTTCAGACTGAATAGTCGCAGCCACTCCTCATCAACTTTGTGCTCCAGACCCTGCACAGCTTTGCTGCCCTTCTCTGGACACACTCCTGGGCAATCAACTCTGGCTGGCCCTGTTTGAACAGGTACAGAGGACTGTGTGGTCTCAGGAGGTCCCTTCCCATCTCAAATCTCAAGATTTTGTGATTCTGTATCTTGTATCAGGAGACAACCCTGAGGAGCTGGGACTTAGCACTCATATCAAAGAGACAGGAGAACCAGGGCACAACTGCCAGGCTGGGGAGGCAGCTCTTCCTTCCCCAACCCGCTTCAATAACCACCTTCCTTTGCCTCCCACAGGATGGCAAGAGCCAGGATCCTCCTGTTTTGAAGTCATGGGCGTTTCGGTGCCGCTGTTAATCTGCTGCTGAAGGCAAGTGGTCGGAGGGCATTACTGCAGGGAGACCAAAGTGGGCAGGTTAACACACTGGACACAATGAGAGACACTTAGGCTGGTAAGCAGGTGCATGCGTGCCCAGGTTGAGTGACTTTCCTTGTCAACAGTGCTTTCAGTCTGAGTTGTTGTTTGGCTTTCTGAAGCCATCAAGAAAATTCAAGTCTTGGTCTTCTATTACACCTTATGTCATGAGGCTGCAGAGCAAACCCCAGGAATTGTAAAACTACTTGACCTGTTTGTTTGTGGCAACTGTGGGGCCCGGATCTGCTCCAAAATGTATACTGTCACATTTCAACTATCTTACTGTGGAAGTCCTTTTTAAATGTAAGTCCATCTTGACTTACATTCAGTTCATGACAGTTCAACAGACTGTCAGTGATGGACATCTAAGTTCAGTGTGAGATTGTCAAGTTTTGTCTCCAGGTGTTTAATGTATTTCTTATGTAAAAGAATGGTTTCTACTGGGAGGCAGAAGTGAAGAACTGTGCAAAACAGGCACGTGAAGCTGGTAACTATAAGGGAATGACTGAAAATTCCTGAATGATGATAATGATGCCAAGAGAACCAGTGCTGAATTTTAGTTGTGTCTTTGAACTGCAATCTTGAAACATTTCCTACTTAAAACAAACAAACAAACTCCACATTTCTTCCAGAGGAAATGTCTGCTACATCTCATTGCTAAGAGGAAACACAAAACAAATTACTACATCTATCAGAAATAACCACTCTGATTTTTGTCAAGTCAAGTGTAAATTCCATTCAGTTTTCTGTAGCCTGCGACCCAAGGCAAACTACTTAATATCATTAGTTTGTCTCTCTGGGAAACTACTTGGGATGATTTTAATAAGGTCTCAGTAGATGCAGTTATAAAATTGGTGTCTGGCAAACAGCTGTGATGCAGCTTAGCACATGAGTTTACATGTGCTTAAATTGGCTCCACTGCACATCAGAGCCCCAAGCTTTCTCTCCTTGAAATTAGCAGCTGATAATGCCCAGCTGTATGCTCCTAACATAGGGGACAGTGAGACACTGCCTCAAAGGAAAAATGTCCTGTGGAAACTAGAGGGATCTCTACAATGCCTTAGTTAAATCCAAGAAAAGTGAAGAGATTCTCGACTAATCCTTTTTATTGGAAAGCTATAGGTCAAGCAGTGCTAGCTTCACGTCACTGTTCAGAGCTGGTTCCAAAGCTGTTTAAACTTCATTATTATTTAGACAATTATTATTTAGACAAATAGCTCTCAAATTTCCTAACCTGGGAAATGTTTTTGGGGGAAGATAAGGCCAATTCAGAACTGTCCCAGGGCTCCTGTTCTGCAGAGCCCTGGTGGCCGTTCCTTATTCCCAGATCCTGGCAAACACAGCTCAATATTTTGGAATTCCTAATTCTGAATTTTATAAGAGAGAACGTAGTTGAGAGCGTAACATTGCACATGAATAAGATTCACAATAACGAGTTTCTACTGTACTGTGTATAACCAACAGTATAACCAACAGCTTGGATGTACGAGACCGTGACCTCTGAGGGATTTCCACCACCCACTTATTTCCAGACTGCTTTCAGGCGTTACAAGGTAAGGAAAACTACTTGGGAAACTGGAATTTTACCTCGAGGCTGAGTTATATCTTTTCTACAAGCAACATTTCAAGTACAGGCACTGGGACTTGAGTCCTATTTTTTTTATTGCCTGAGCAACATTTCAGAATTGCTGCAATTACTGCACAAGATATTTCACTGGCCAGTGTATGCAGAGTCTTATAAAGCACTTTTGTACAATTCCCTAGGCCTTGGGAAGCATATCATTACTGAAACTGATTTCAATAATAGCATGACACACACACAGCTGAGGAAGCTAGTAGTAAGCAGAGATGTTCAGAGGAGTTTGAAGACTGCATTTCCACATGGTACACGAGAGCGGCACGTATGCATCACAGGCATTACATCCTGGAGTTGGTAGTATCATATTTGCAAACAGAGATGTCTGTGGCCTCGTGCCAACGGCATCACAAGTGATCTCACTAAACAGAAAACAGGACATGCTGTCCTGTGCTTCTACTTACAGTAGTGCAGCTACGAGCATCCCTGCAATGGGCTCAGGGACACACCTAGGGACCAGACGTGGAGAGCGCGAGCTGCTCTCACTGGCACCGCACGACTGCCACCTCGACGGGCCAATGCATCCTACCCTGTAAGCTTCAGACAGGATGCAGACCTCTCCTTGAAGGTGCCTGTATGTGCACGCATTCCTTGTAATGCAGCTGCCTTTCCACGGGTAGCAGGCAGCCACGGGTGGTTCTGGTGCCTGGCACGGAGCAGAACGTCAGACATAGCCGTTACAAGCATTGCACTCGTTCTGCCACTCACAAGGTCTCACAC